TATTGCATTATGTTTTTTATGTCTGGCACCGCCCTGTAGGTGGACAGAGTCACTGCGGAGCGTAGTTCGGTTCGTCCATGGCGGTGCAAAAGAGCAAAGAGGCACAAGAAGCTAGGAAAAAACTGGAGGATGAGCTATCTGTTGTCCAAGCTCAGCTGAGCCGGTGCCAAGAATGGAATCAGGATGCCAAAAACACAGTGAGATTGGATATTTCATAATTTATACTTGATTTAATCAAGTATAAATTGTGAAATATCCAATCTCACTGTGTTTTTGGCATCCTGATTCCATTCTTGGCACCGGCTCAGCTGAGCTTGGACAACAGATAGCTCATCCTCCAGTTTTTTCCTAGCTTCTTGTGCCTCTTTGCTCTTTTGCACCGCCATGGACGAACCGAACTACGCTCCGCAGTGACTCTGTCCACCTACAGGGCGGTGCCAGACATAAAAAACATAATGCAATAGAAGCTTCTTTCCAAGGGCACACACAGACACACTCATTCAATCTGACCCTTGCTGGAGGTGACCTCCTTGCAATCAGCCCCGTGGAGCACTTATTTCCCAGCTATAATCAGACTCGCTCACTAAGGCCTGACCTTTTCTCAGCAGCCCCTCAGCCATGGCTATGTATAAGTCCAATATAAAACCCAGCCCCCTAGAGAGAGACATCTGCTAGAGCTCAGATCCACGGCCATACAGGTTAATGAGGGAAAGAGAGCGCAAACGTATACACACAACACGGCTGCATGAAAGGTACGAGATATGTTGCACCCAATATCAAAGTATCTCATGTGGCACAGGGTTATACTTCTAATTTTATGTTATGCTCATGGTAACAAACTAAATTAAACAAACAACTTGGTACCAAGTTCCTTTAAGCAAGGTGGCCTTCAAGTTCACTTGGTGACCATCTTAGTAACAGTGCAGCACCAAATTTCATGAATTTTGACAGACCAAAATCTCTAAAATTGTTGGCTAAGCTTACATGTCAACACCGTTTTTCAAGCATCCAATAAAATATGACAATATGAATCAATTTACAGATAAAATTTGCCATCAACAGTGGTACCTCAGTGGCCTGGTGTCGTTTGATTTCCAGTAAAGCTTCATTCTCCACCTGCAGCTTCACCAGATTCCCTTTCACCTCCAAGAGCTACAAGAGAGCAGACACATTTTACATAGCTCTCCTTTAGTATACAAAGTATTTTATCACAGCTAAAGCAATAAATAGTTTTGACAGATCATGTGCACGCATATGAGATAAAGACATTGCTGAGTTATTCCACATAGAGTGGGTCTCCAGATTGAGTCACATGATTAGAGTACTTCATGTAGTACTCATACTATGGCTTCATTTACACCTGGTATTAACATCCTGTTCAGGTGATCTCATTTTGAAATGGGACAATGCTAAATAAAATCATTTATTATTAATATTAATAATGTTTTGAGATTTCTTTACTTCAACAACATTCTGAAGTGGACAAAAATGCACATGACCATACTGCAATTCATGTATTTAATAATGTAATTTGTGTATTTAATAACTGAATACGAGACAAGAAAAATGAATGAAACTATTTTTGCTATATTAGGCATGTGATTAAGAAAGAATGTGTGCATAATTTAAAATGCAATTTTTTTGTAAATAATTCAAACGGATTACAATAAATTCTGGTTATTTTACTGGTCTTCTGTCATTTCCTTTATTCCCTGAAATTCCTTTAAACCCTTTTTAGATCCATTCAATAAAAGTATCCCTTCAAAAAATTTGGTTTGATCCCCCCCAATATTCAAGGCATGGTCACGGCCTTATTATAAACACTAACGCATTACCAGATGAAACTAACTCATGTCATTACCAGATGATAACAACTTAATCTCGATCTCAACCACAAAAAAAACCTTACTTGAAATAAAGTAAACATTACCTATAGTTGCCATGGAAAAATTTCTAATTTTCATTTAGTTTAACTTGATGAACTAAAATGACTGAAATAAATATTATTATAAAATAGTATTAGTATAAAATAGACATTTAAAAAATGATAATAAAAATGACAAAATGCACACCAGAATTACTAAAACTTAAACTAAAATTTAAATAAAAATGGAAAATAACATAAAGTAATATAACATAAAAACGAATTCAAAATAATAATTTTAAATACTCTCAATATTACT